TTTGCTCATTTGATCGTTCATTAATGCGGTACCGTAGAAACTTGCTGGATCGTTCGTTTTGTTGACGTTTTGGGATCCGATTTCGGCTACGCGTTACTCGTTGATCTCTTCGGGAGACACAGTACTCAAATTTGCGTCATTTGGAACAAGAGAATGTCGTTCGTACAAGGAAGGATCGAGGAGGAAGGACAGGAAGCAACCCGGAAAGTCACATGGGAATTTGAAGGGGTTTCTGATTCTCACATTTTTAATTTAGTTAATTGTTAGAAGTTCATGTGCCCTAGATTGTGATGCCGATGTTAAGATGTTTGATATATATCTCCGTAAGATCGTAGAGTTAGAGCATGAGATTAGATCGATGAAGCTCAGGGAATCAGGGGCTAGACAATCTTGCTCGACTAAGCACGCCGTGANCCGTGACGGAAAAATCCCTGCCTATTGGACTGACGCCGGAAGGGGCTCAACTGCCGATCAAAGTGATGTACCGCCACACGTCGATTGACCTGCTCAGGGTGGAGCTAACGCCATTCGACGGGAACCCCAGCAACTATTGGAGATTCATTAAAGAATTTGATAATTCTGTCGAGTGTCAGATCGCCGATTCAGGGCATAAATTCCTGTACCTAAAGCTTTATTGCCGCGGGAAGGCCCGGAACGCTATTGAAGAATGTGTAATGCTACCAAAAGAACTTTGGCACAGCCGAGCAAGGGACATCCTGAAAGAACTGTTTGGCCAACTGTTTCACGTGTCACGAACGCTCACAGACAGGGTGCTATCCGAGGCCCGTAAAGCGCAAAACGAACCCGAATCGTTGGTGCGACTGGTAATGAAAATGCAAAACTGTTCCATTGCCTTGACTCAAATGAATTACGAAGCAGATTTGAATGTTCTAGAAACACTAGAGGCGATCGTAAGGTGCCTGCCGGCTGACATACAACAACGATGGGCGGAGGAGGCGGTGATTATTGGCAGTTTAGGGAGAGAATCGAATTTCACCGAGCTACCGGAATTCATCCGAAACCGTACCAAGGCCACTATCAGTTGCTTCGGACAATTCGCCAGCATGAGTAGCGAAAAGAGTAGCACCACACCAAGGAACGAGCCTACAATATTCCGAGAAGCTCTAGAAACGCAAATAACTTGCGGAATGTGGCACAACTAGATGCCCTACGTGTCGTTCAAATCACGAGTTATTCGCGTGTGAGAAATTTGTGCAACTGGACGTTCCGGACCGTTGGGAAGCAGCCAAGAGGCATGATGCGTGCCTTATCTGTGTGATTGGCTCACATCGTGGGGCCGCTTGGAGGAACCGTAGCAGATGCAGAGAAACGGGGTTTCAAGGAAGCCACCGTACTTTCTTGCATTCTATAAAAGAAAGTAAGTTACCGGCACCCCAAAAACCCAGCGAATGTCTTCTATCACAATCAGCAAAAAGGCAGGTGCGTCTTGGGGCTACACCGGTTGGCATAATAACACTCAGTGGGGTAGTAAAGACGATGGCGTTCATTGACAGTGGATCCGATATCCCGTTGATCACCAAGCGCTTCGCCGTAAAAGCATCACAACGCGACCATCTTCCCTGACGATCAACACGGTGGACGGTACCAAGGTAACTTCCGCCGAGCAAGCGAATGTGACGTTAGTTTTGCTAGCTAATGGTGAAC